TTGGCAATTTTTTGGACAATTGTAACTCAATAATAGAAATATGTTGTATTTCTATATATATACACACACTATATATTCTTATCAAATGCAAACACATCCAGTCAATCAATTGTGGTTCAGTTGTCAACACAGTGATCAGAAGGACCCGGGTTCAATTCCCAGTCTTTTTTTGCAAACACTAATTTGCAATAAACTTAAATATAAAAACAAACCATTCACTTGCATGACTGCCCATATGGTTCAGTGGATATGTACAATGTAGGCAATGTGAGAAATCGCTGGTTCGAATCCAGTACGGTTAGTACGTTTTTGAATGCTAGTGAAAACATTGATCCTATAAGTAGAACTTAAATGGGTAGCGTGTCTGCCACAACGATCCGATCGTCGTGTGAGCTCCAAGCTTGGACCAAATCTTTCGTATTGTACAACATTTCTGACACATTGAATGCATTGATTCACAGTCCCTCTGATAGAGGGACTGTGATTGATTATTGTATCCATTGAAGATATTGATTGATAACACTCAACATGACACATGCCGCCCATGAAACTTTAGTTGTGGGTCAACAGCTCTGCTTGTGTCGATATGGTGGTTTAATATAAAACGTACATGATATGTGTATGGTATTGTCGACACAGTAGAGCTATGGTGACAGCCTTAGAGTTGCGTACACGTTGACGCCGCAATGAAACCATTGCGCGAATAAACAATTAAGAATTATGCAATGTCCTGAGAAACACAACTCCCAACTGAGATCGCTAGCTTGTACATTTATTAAATACTCACCACGCTAACTATTGAGACTTAATGAGTATTCTTGGACGGTCAAGCTGAAATACAACCTGTTGCCATCTTCAACTTACTAACGCTGGACGAGGTCAGCATCACATGATCAATGTGACGTCAAGTTGTGATTGCGTAATGCGGTTCGGTAGTCCCCAGCAACGTACACAGCATGCCCGGCATTGCGTCAATAAAGTGTTCATTGCAACGAACCGTTTCAGAGATGAAACAACGGTTTGAAACGATATGGAGTTTGCAAAAATGTTAGTGACAATTTTACTATTCGTGATATTCTATTTTAGTTGTTCCAGGGACCACAAAATGGTCGATTTGTTTGCTAAATCTGTTGCAGTATAATCCGGGTTGCCAGGCGGTGAAAATGCCCGGATGTCCGCCCCGAGGATATACGAGCATAGACCTTAGAAAGATAAATAGATTGTCTTTCTTTCTAAGGTCTATGATACTAGTAAGACATTTTGACAACAAACAGCGCCACCTATAGTTTAAATTTAATACAGCAATACTGTAGTTCATCACAATAAAAAAAAAACGTTTATACTGCAATGTTCGTATCGTGTCACGATCTCTGGATTAGTGTAATTAAGTTTGATCTCGCATTTCAACAGCTACATCGGGGTCTATAAAATGCCTTTTCCTTCCAAACACACACAATCTTTTTTTATAATCAAAATACCCATCAAGAAAACATGGGTCAAGGAAATTGTTGTCACATACTCTTCGTGTTACATAGGTATGACTACGAGCAAAATATAATGGGCCACGGAACACGCTCATGTGTACACACAATAGGATTTAGTTAAAAATTAGCGAAAACTTCGGTCGGTGATCCCAAATATATTACTCTGAAGTACAAACGTCACATTTCATAACTTTGCATCCTATTCACTCTAATGTCATTTCAATATATATATATACGAAGGATTATTTAAGTTTATCTCCACGTGGCATACTGGCAATGAAGACAAACTTGTTCTTGAACATATATTTAATGAAAATTCATAAAAACAAAACAAAAGTAAGAATGCAGATAATAGTTTCATTTCCATACACATGTTACTGGCTGAACCACAGTATAACAATAGGTCACGTAACAATAGGTCACATAACAATAGGTAGGTCATATAACAATAGATCATTTCCTTTGATGACCTCACGTAGGTCATCGTTTACAATACTAGTAGTACATGAGTGCTCTACCAATCAATAACACACTTTTACACCCTGTCAAAGTTGGGCCACCCTTTAAATTAGTCGTCTTCAAAATAGTTTATTTGTCGGTATGGGATTGGAAATGTATCCAGTTCTGTCCCAAGTGTCTGACTCAGTTAACGGTGAAGGGTCGTGATTCTACTATATAGTGGCATGACCCTGTTTCAATACTCTCCAGGCTGGTATCAATTGGTGAAAAAACATCACACCATACGGTATGCTGCTATGAACTGTATCGTATCAGTTTGTCATATCCCGACCTACCGTAGATACATTTTTCAAATCGAGTGACCCCATCATGTTACGCACCAGACATATTAATTAGTCGTCCCCGTCAGAGGGCGCAACTCAAAAATCGGATGTTGCATTTTTCCAATGAAAAAGTTGTGAAAGCACCGTCAAATGAAGTCAAAGTAATTAAGTTTATCTTTATATATAGTACATAGCGATTGCCACAACTCAATACATGTAAACAATTTACCATCGAGATATCCTTTTAACTATATTTCTTTTCAAATTTTAGGTTTTGTAGATTACCGACATCGGTTCAACCGCATCGTTGATGCCTCGAGTCGTATTGTGTGAAAACCGTACATTTTCCCAAAGTTAACATTCAAGTTTTCAAACTTATCTGTCAAGATTTTTGGAGTTGTGTCAAAAGAGTTCTTTCTTTTTCCACGTCTTTTTTGAGTTTATCTGTCAACCAATAAGTATACGATTCTGACGCACTTTTCCGTTTATCTTTATCGCGGCGGCCAACTATTTTGTTTTCCTGGGCCCACGTGACTCTACGTACGGACTTTTCCCGATGTTTCCGCTCACGCCATTCTTTGAACGCATTGGCCTTGAATTCACACTCTGATTCTTGTTTTTTTGTCGATGCTGTGTCACGTTTGGGATCGGTGACTGTTCGGCAGGATTCAACTTTTCGATTCACCCACTCTATATACGAAATTCCCCTAGGGGCACGGCGTCGTTTTTCTTCTTCAATTTTTCTTTGCAACGCCGCGCGATTCTCAATCAATAATTGACGGGAGAGTTTCTCTTTGTATTTTTTATCGAGAAGCCACTTCTCGCATGTCTCGCGTGACTTGGAAAATTGCTTTCCCCTTTCAGTCTGTTTCATCCTCACAAGTTTCTCCCTTGACATCTCATTCGTGTTCCCCTTTTTTTCTTGTTCTTTTTTCCGACGCTGTTCTTTTGCTTTGGCCCATTCCTCAAAAGATACGGTCCCAAGTATATGAGGCACAAATTCTGAAGGATCGAATTCTTCATCTTCCTCGTCTCGTTTCTTAGGCAATTGTCCTCTTTGTTTCTTCTCTTGCAACCACTTTTTGAACGCGTCCGGGTCACTGGGACGCATCGTACCTGGCTGCTCTTCCGAACTTTTCGTTCTAAGTTTAATTTCTTGTTTCTTTGTACTCACCCATTTTTCGAAAGCTTCCAAGTTATGTTGCTGTTTTTCGTAGTCGTCTTTGTCCGGAAAATTCTGTCTTCGTTTCATTTCCAAAAATATGTTCCAAGTTTTTGGACGCGGTATAGCTGACCTTGCCCTGTGAAATATAAACAACGTGTAAAGTATGAGAAAGGGTAAGATTTGAATGAAATCATGCGTGCATGGAACTGCCACGGAGATAATGTATATATACACTACATTTCACGATGATTTATCATAAACTAAAAACTACGTTCTTGTTGCACACATCTGAATGCGCGCTCTACTGCACATTCCAGTGCGTATTAATGGTTTTTATTTTTTGTCGAATTACAACATTTTTAATTAAATTTAATCATAATAACATTTGGTCATCAACATGCATTCTTCAATAACAATATTATATATATATATATATATATATATATATATATATATATATATATATATATATATATATATATATATATATATATATATATAACACGTGACTTTTAAACTGATGAACATTTTGGTGTGAACAAACCACAGCTTTTACTAACCGTCTATATAGAAGAGCGGGAACACTTCTGGTTGTCGCTGCAGATGTCGGTCTACTTGAGCACAGATGGGAAGGACCGCGATACAAAGGGGCAGAATACGATCTCTGTCCGGAAGCTTTCGAACACTTTGTCGCTACATTTATGTCTCTCTCTACCTGCTGGATTTCAATTGCATCCTCATTCTCATCACTACTAGTTTTGTTTTCTTCATCACTTCCCTCTTCATCATCTTCATCGGCCCCCTCTTCCCAGGATTGCAACTCCTCGGCAACTAATATGCTGGTTGTTTCGTGTAGCGTTTCTTCTTCGAGGAGACAAGTTTTTTTCATTTTATCTAGTGAATCGTCGATGTTATTGTTTATTTCAACGTTGCTGTGTGTAGAATTCACTTCTTTTTCATTTAAATTCTTGACATTTTTAACTGGTTGGACGAGGTTACATGTGTGCGCTGGTGGCACTTTTCTTGAGACGCCTTCACGTGCAACGACCCGCTTACCGATTTCAGATCCGTCAAAGGACTGGAATGTTTCGCGACCAAAAGAATTATCCCCCACTTTCTGTAAATGTAATTCCAAAATCTTTGCTGTAAGTGAATTCTCTTTCACGCGATGATTTCTAGTCGCCGTACCGGGTCGAGAGGTGGACGGTGTACGGATAATTGCCGGGGTCAGCACCCGGGGTGAGTTGCATGGTGGGAACGGAATAGAATCGTTGAACTGTACGACGTGTAGCTGTTTTTCGTTGACGGTGGTACATTCGCTTCTAGTAAGCTGTCCGCACTTGTTCCCTTTCAATTCAACTTTTCTTGTTGGCGGTTGGTTTTTTCGATATACGAAATAAGCCTGTCCCGGGGCAGCTTTGAACGACATTTTCATGCTTCGCGGAGAAGCTATCGGCGACGACGATTCTGGAAGCTTCATTGGCGCATCGTTGCTGACCTTTGACACGGACTTCCTTCCAGATCGTAATTTCCACTGGTACAACCAAAGTCTTTTCACGCATTGCTTTTTATCGAACTCACTAGCAATCTCCTGAGCGGTTTTATTTTCGTAGTCGCTTTCCTTGCTGATAGCCCCATTTGCAAGCAGTAAATCAATGATTTCCAAATGTCCCTGGCTGGCTGCTGCATGTAGTACTGTCCTTCCGTAAGAGGTCCGTCCAGTCAAATCAGCTCCTGAGGGGATATCAACAATATTAACCACATCAAAACAAGCAAAGTTCAATGCGCCACCAAAATCACTATTATCCTTACCACCTTCACACTTACAAATATATATTACTGACCGCATGTACATATTTATGTGATAGGGTTATATTTATTTATTTAATCTCGTGAAATTGTGAAATCTTGTGAAAGGTTTGGGTATAAAAGAAATTAATTAGCTCAAATGCATGAATCACTCAGATTGTATGTACATTTTAAATATGTAGAAACAACACATTAAATAAATTCAGTATCTTGAAATTTGAGATGTCGTCTAATAGTGAACATTTTACATTCAGTCACGAAAATACTACTCAGATTCCACTTTGTTACTTAGTTTCTTATTTACTAGTTATTTATTTCTGAAGACTTTAAGTTTGTAATAAGATTCATATTTTGAAGGTATAATAGACAGTAGATTATAATTAAGAGTTCGGTGTAGTGAAAATAAGGCTTTTCCGGGTAAGTTATTTTTAAAGAAGCTTTTGCTAGATAACTTTCAAGTTAGTCCGATAGGATTACCGATAAGAATTGATTTCTTCACAAGTATAATATTGTAATTGTTCGTGTATTAATAAATCTACGGTCAATACGTCTCCATAAACTGGTATAGATCGAGCCTAACGCTTGTAAAAAATCAACAGGTACATTGAACAATCTGGACCATAAATAATGAAATAGAATCTACAGTTTCGAACTAAACGGTTTTCGACTATCCATTACAATGCGTCTAAACGAACCAAGTGAAACACTTTTGAATTAAAGCGTACCCAGTAGTTATGGTTACGCTTCGTGGGACGGAATAATGCTGGAGGTTCTATTCATACTCGTTGTAAGTATGTATTCTGGGCCGTTCAATTAACCTACTTGGACACGCGTAAACGTAACTAATGAGTTGAGATTTATCAACAAACACACAATTGTGGATATAATTGGGTTCTCTGGATGTTATTACTGAAAAAGTTTACGAAACTTCACTATGACAACAGTGTTCACAAACTTTGCGATAACTAATGAATAAACAAGCACTGAGTCAACATCATTTACCACGGTAGATATATCGATACCATAATGCTAATGTTAAAGATACGCTGTATTATATTCATCTTTTTATTATTCGGATAAAACAGAACAACAAAACTATTTACTTATCAGAAGACACCAGTTTTAAAGGTTCAGGAAAAGCAAGCATTTCGCGCAAGTCACGGACTACCTTTTGCGGAATGTGACTATGTGTTATTTTGCTAAGAAACGGCACGGGCCGACATTTTGTATTGTCTCCGTTCCATCCATGTGGTGTTAGAATCTAAAACCTATTAGACAATGCGTGTTTGGAGGTCTTATGGTTCACAAAACTGCACCAGATTTCATTTATTTTGTGAAATTGACATTCTTGCGATGTAGAATGGCCAATAAATATTAATGACTTTAATAAACTCATTTATATCTAAAAAAAAATAACAGCCAGGAACATGCCAATTGTTTTTCCAATCAATTATATCTTCTCTTAAGTGGTTCGTTCGTTCTAGACGATATGGTTCCTGGTACCCACTGAATCTACGTGCACGTCACTGTGAATACTAGTATTAACTGTTCAGTTAGACTAAACAATCCCAACTATGAATGTGCTGACGTTGAACGATTTCACCCTCTCCTGAGCATATACAGAAGATCAAAATCATGTGTGGGGTGTGCATTTCAATAAATATAATGACAAAGCGAACTTTGTACTCATTAAAGGGGCGATAGTCGCACCACGCATGCGCTAGATATATGAATCTCTTATAAACAAAGATGGCC